AGTTGGCTTACTTTAGCTTCCCCAGCTAACGTGATTCATGATACTAACTTATGTTTCAGAGACATTCTGAATATGATTGTCATTTATTTTACAGTGTTTAGTCTCGTTTGTGTCATGTCACTGTTTTGGCTGATGTGTATGCAGTTAGCTTAGCACCGCTAGCTACTCTAGAACTGACTGACACCATTTGGCTCCATCGTCGCTGTTTACAACCACAGAAAAGGTGTCTGAAGTGTAAACAGCTGCTGTGAGGAGACTGCAGCACGTTAACACTTCTAATGTGTGTATTTATGTGTTATACAGAGAAATAACCGATCATTCAGATTGTTAAACTGTGAATCGACCACATGTTATGAATAATGACTAACAGGAGATCTAACTGAAGGTTAAAGGAAGTGAAATTTCAAAGAAACAGTGACAGCTCTGATCTGCTGTCTCCACTGAGAGTTTAATCTGAGCTCGAGTCAGACGACTGAGTCAACCATCAATAAATTATTGACAGACCTGTCTGACTCCTCTGTTTATGTACAGAGGCATTGTGAGATGTAATGTTTAATTTGCTGAGAAAAGTCAAAGCCTGCGACGTCTGGAGGTAACGGGGTCACTGATATAAAGCTAACACACAGACACAGTATGTGACTCACATCCGATCATCATCATGGCCACAGCGAAGATCTTCTCTCCGTCTGTGTTGGGCGCGATGTTTCCGAAGCCGATGCTGGTCAGGCTGGTCATAGTGAAGTACAGCGAGGTGATGTAGACTGAGTCCTTTGTGGGCCCCCCCTCCCAGCGGCCCGTGCCCGTGGCGTTGAACCTGTATGGCGTCCCCACCGTCTCCCCCAGCAGGAACAGCCAGCTGTCCATCCTCACTTTATTGGTGTCCTCATTGATCACCTCATAGTCTCCGATGCTGTACCAGATGCAGGCCAGCCAGTGGGCGGCCAGGCCGAACACGCACACCAGTAAGACCAGCACGGCTGCTCCGTACTCGATGTAGTGGTCCAGCTTCCTGGCAACCCGACCCAAACGCAGCAGACGGACCACTTTGAGAGAGCTGAAGAGACTGCTGATCCCCTGGAGAGGAAGAGGAGGAATAAATGATGCAGCTAAACTGAATTACACATACTATATATTTGTTTTTATTGCCAGTTTTGGCTCCTGGTACCTCACATTAGCTGTGCAGCTATCCGAAGCTAACAATAGCTAACATTACAGTTAGCAGCAATCACCTTCTTTTAGCAACAAGTCCATCAGGAAAC